ATATATATGTATATCTTAGTTTGTGACTTGTATAACTATTATTTTCCAATTTTAAGATTAAAAATATAATTTAGTATAATATATAACATAAGACAATATGATTATTTCACTTAGTAACATCTGATATCAATTACTTATAAAATTTATACACAAAATGCATCTAAAAAAAAAGAGTTCACAAAGTTGTAATCAGCTTGCTCTAATAACCATGTGCAGAATGCACAGCGCACAAGCTTATGTAAAATAGTTACATCATAGAAACACAAACTTTCAGCAACAGACTTACACTCCTTATGAAAATGCCAAWTAGTACCATCATATAAGACTATATTATATTTATCAACTAGAACACGTTATCACAAAGAAAAAAATGTACCTATTATTGAAATCGAACAAAAAAAAGGTTATCTATTTAAATATTAACGGCAAGTATTATCAGGCACTGAAGAAACATAATCAATATAGAATATAATATTTAAATTCAAGAACTTTGGTACTAAATACATAAGCGTGAGCAAGGGTGTTGTCAGGGTAGGTCGACTACTCTGTAAACTAACTTAGACGGTGTTAAAATGCATATAATCAAAGTTTTATAGATATGCTACACAATAATAAACAATAATTATACTATATATTATATATAACTAAGGTAATCGTTAACATTTGATTTCGTAAAAATATATAATTTATTGTAGGTATATATATTTTATATGAGAATGTGACAATAGTGACTATTATAGTAACATGTAGCACCATAATTCATGATTGTAAATTAGTGTATATTATATTAAAGATTTTTTTCTCAAACAGTTAAATGATATACCTTTAGTTTTGATGGTAAGAATGKTATTATTGGTTAAAAAAATGTTATCCCCGTGGCTTTTTCTAAATAATTGTTTAATCAAGGTTATGAGTTTAAACCCGAATACCTAATAATTATAATATTATCATCTATGACTACTTATCGACAACATCTACACACACACTTATGAATCATCACTATACAACAGTGTTGTTATATGCAAATTTGAAAGAACTAGTGTTTGTTATCACATCATGATTTATGAATATTTCAAAATTAATAGTGACAAACCTTTTTCCGCTCTCTGCCATGCTAAAGCCGAACACAATAAAGCCAATGTTTTTCCAGACCCTGTAGGACTTTCCAAAAGACAATTTTGCTGCTTTTGACAGCCACGAATAACCTAAAAGAAATTTTAATGGATAAAGGATATGTTTACTCAAATTTTACTCAAATGTTTACCTTATCCATCATGGAAACCTGAGAAGGATATGGTCTGACGGGCATTTCAATTTTGACCCCACCGATTGTATACGTGAACAATGGTCGATCATCGGGCTTAGTTTTCGACATCGTTATGGACAAACTATACACTAAGATGGTAAAAGATGATTTCAATTAGGTTGRTAAAAAAATTAGTTTAGGCAACGATTTAAAATAATATATATTGGTCAAAAATCGTACGAACACGATTTATAAGGTGTAAAAAAATACTGGAAAACTGGAGTTATGTCAGATTAAAAATGAACATTAATGTGAATGTCTCAACTCCAGTTTCAGTGTTACGTACTGACGACTAATGTAATGCATAGACCAWAATTAATAAAATGTAACGCTTTGAAATTTGAAATTGAATGAATAACAATAACAATAGTCACATTATTGTCATTCTGACGTTATCAACCGATAAGACGAATTAAAGCGGGAAAAAGTTTGCCAC